TTTTTTTTTTTTTTTTTTGGGAGGGGAGGAAGGGGGGCGTACGCGAGATCTAGGGGCATATGAGCGAAAATTTTAAAACGGAAGGGTGACAAATGGATTGGGAGTTTCAGCTTCCAAGCTTTCTTGGTTGCTGAATTGAAAGTGAGTGACAAAGTTCACTCGTTTCCAAAAACACATGCGCACACGGACGACCTCTTAACGATATGCATTTTTGCCTACTGTAGCAGCGCCATAGCGCTATAGCGCTGCTACAGTAATCAAAAACGCATAAAAAATGTTATTACTCTGATTCGAAGCTGAAAAAACCTTTGTTCCCCACGCCACCCTTCCTTATACTAAGGAATCCAAATAAACGATGTTTCTGCAGACTCCTTCGTGCTCATACCTAGAGGAGTTCAATCAACTGTTCTGCTATCACCTCTGTTTATCTGGTCCCTTTTACTTACGTTTGAGTCTTGAGAACCAATGCATTTGCTTCCGCCTTTTTTGTTGATTACACCAGCTTTTTTATTAGCCCCTATAAGTGATAGATAAAATTGTTGTAGTACTAATCTGAAATTTAAAAAATGTCACTACAGTCTTGTGTTAGGTCGGAAAGGTACCAGAAAGCTAATTCATTCGAATAGCTTACTCAGAGTTAAATTTGGAAAGGATTCGCATATTCAGGACAGTAGCAGTTCTTTACCTGCTAATAAAAGTCAAATCTCACAAACTGCAACTCGTTTGAGATGCAATCAAGGAACAAAGCCATTATGTTTGCGAAACGCTCACTGATTGTATTCAGTGCCTAAACATTGAAAATACCTAATTCGATTGATGCAATTTCGAAAAACAATTCCCATGCTACTTTTTGCATTTGAGAAAGAAATGTGCTGCATTCAGTTGTTAAACAATATCTAAATATTAGTAATCTAGGCTTACAAAAACAACGAACCGATCCAGTAAGAACAAATGACCATCGAGAACCAATTCGACAAACAACTGCTGGCATTACTGTTGCACCAATTATTGCTCCGACAAAGAGAATACCAGCAATCGACGACCAAAGTATTCGAATTGATATTTCCGAAAAGTAAACATCGTAGCGACTGCAACATAATGATCTACGTAGCTGATCTGTTTCTCAAGGATTCCAAAGTTAAGCCACTTTCATGACTCTTTATCGGGCACATTCACTAGCTCGTAGAATTAAAATCAATTTCCAGGTCCAGTAGGTCGCATACAAGAGCATGTGAGCGGGTGTTATCACTTTAAAACAAAACAGCCTAAAAATTGCTAAAATATTAAAAAGATGACGCTAAACTTTTAAATTCTTTCTCCTTTACGAATGCTTTGAATCCAACTCAGTGTGATTCTTACAACTTCAAAATGAAACAAGCTAAACTAAGAACATTTTATTAACTTGGTGGATCATACATTGCAAAGTAAAGTACAAAAGACGTCTGACACACTATTCATTGTACAAAATCTAAATCTGCACAAATGTCGATTGTGCATGCATAATAGCTATCCGCAAAAGTATATTGGTATCCTGGGGCATTCTGTTTTATGCTACCTTTTGCCGCAATTTCATTTAAAAAAAGTCGTATTACCTTTCTAGAGAATGCGACAAGTGACGCTGCAACGGTTTGGCCATCGGATTGATGACCGAAAGTTGAAAACCGAAGTTAAATCCTCCACCGAGCACTACAAATATCCCAGTGATCAGTAATTTTGGCGTTGGCCACTGCTTACCGCGTGGTGCTTTGCTAGAGCACTGTTTTTGATTGCACTCCTCACCCTGGTTCGAGTTGAAGCTCTGCTTAGCAGTAGACATACTGGTCGATAATTGACTAATGATTGGTATTTCTGCCGTACGACTATCCGTTTCATTTATACCCATCACAGCTTTATCTGGAAAAATTAAGTAGTTTTGATTCCTGCCTAGTACAATCAACTAATTCAAGTAAGCACAAATGCCAGTATTTTTCCTGTATCCATCTCCAGAATAAGGTGTACTTCGGCTTTGGCATCCGTCAATGTGTTGCGCCAAAAAAAAAAAACGCTCAACTTCCAAAACAACTGCTCCTTCACTGCTAACATTCTCCTTAATCGCCCAACTTGATCTATAGATGACGTTTTTTGCGCTTCAGCAGTATGTTTAGCTTTTTTAGAATCAGTTTACTACTTTCTGTCAGTACTTTGGTGAACTTTTTACAAAAATTGGCAGGAAAAAAGGACCAAAACACAGTATCAAAAGGCTATTTTTTCCGGCCGCAGTGCCGTTCCGCATGAATTTTGCATGCAGTTCAAGTCAGCTTCTTTGAAAAGTACTGGAAATGATATTTTCAAATAAAAAATGAACTAAATTTTATCTGGCTTCATTTTGGCTTTCTTACAAGTTTAAATAGTGACAATCCAAGTAATGACGCTCGAGGCTTACCAGTGCAACCGTGCGTTTTTGCCCTAAACACAAGCCGATCAGATCGTTTACACAACATAAGCTTGCTTGATAACTAAATTTGAAATCTTTAGATCATATGTGAACAGCGAATATTCCCGCGAAGATCCAGCTTCCTACTTTTACCAGCTCCCGAAAAAGTTTTCTCACCAGAAAATTTACGCGTTTCTTGAAGGTGTTCATGCGCAAGGATGTAGCAAGAATAGAAGAAACAACAGACAGAGGACACGAATAATTAAATGATGCCACGCAAGTGTTAAAAGAATACAGAAAAAAGGAAGATTCGTTTGAACAACTGGGCAGAACAACACAAATGAACGAGGTCACTGTAGAGTTAAGTAGAGAAGTTACCAACTGCATCAATCTAGCGAAGGAACTTAACTATGAAACAGAAACAAAATGACAAAGTAATTAATAAAAATAATGTGTTGAAAATTGGTCTATTTTTCTTACTTGCACATGTCGCATTGTTACTATTTTTATTTGAATATTATTAAACGAAATACTCTATTAGTTCTCTATGTATTTCAGTCTAATAATTTGTAGTGAGTTGTTTAAAAATGTCGAAATTGCGCCAGCCTAGAGGAATCACTTCTCTCAGCTTACTTTCTCATTCAAATAAATAGGCATTCTAGTTTGTAGCAAATTCACACTGAGAATTAAGATACTTGAAAACAAAGTCTGAGAAATTAAAGAAATTTACTGATTTCTTTCGAAAAAGAAAGTGAAATTAAGGGATTTGCAAAAATAATCCGTAGTGGTGTTTGAAAGTGGCAGCTCTCACCGGTGGGAAAAACTGGATTATTCAAGTGATCTTATCTCATACCATGCCCATCTTCAGGGTATTCTATCAATAATTCACATGAATAGCGTAGTGAGCACGCGCAAGCGCAGACGAATTCTTTTTAAAATGTAATGTATTAAATTCCCTTATCCTTTTTGCAAAACCTGAAACTTCTTAACAGTTTGTTCCAAGCAGATTTTGTATTTAGGTTACTTTGTTAAGGATTTCTTACTGCATGCATTAATTACAAACGAGGTTGCTGAGTAACACACATTTTTTACAGCAACATGACAATAATCAGTTTATCAGGTGCTCTGTCCAGTTCCTTAAAGTCCTCACATTTAATGCGAAAAAGTACGAATGTATGCCTCAATTAGCAGAGTACGGAATCAGTGGATGCTTAAGTCTCGCCCTGATTGATTAGAAACAAGACGTTTGAGCCCAGTTGCTGAACAAATGTTACGAGTTGCAATGCTCCAGGTTTGCCGGTGCGATAAACTTGCAGCAGTCAGACCGTTAATAGCAAGAATAGTTCCTGCGTTACAGTTTAACGCATGGACAAAAGTCTTTAGCATTTTCGGCGGGGGTGGGGGAGGGAAATGTGAGGCAGGAGTGGAGAGGGGTTGGAGGGAGGCGAAGAGGAAGGGTGTTGGCTAGAATAATGGTTTAGGTGATGGAATTCGCGTGAAGTTCAGCCTACATGATTACCAATTTTGTATGAAGACCAGTGGTTTTATGTGTTTTTGCTTATATGTAAATTGCAAAAACGCATATTGCAACGCATATTGCAATCCGTGTGTGTGTTTGTTTGCTTGTTTGTTTGTTTGTGTGTGTGTGTGTGTGTGTGTGTGTGTGTCTGTCCAGGTATTTCAACTCGGCAATTAAGCAAGCTCCGGCGCCAAAATTTTGTCAGTGGGTTCCCCGGTCAAGTACCACCCCACGACCGCGGTACCAATCCTCATGCAAATCTAGGCACCGCGTACGCGAGGGTGAAAATTTGGCGGGAAAATTGCCAATTCGGGAACGAGAAAAGAAAAGAAACTGGAATTTTGAGGTTATGTTCCCAGTCCACATAGAACTCAAAGATTTCAAGTTCAGCCCCCAAGTACGCGTAGTTCTTGCGTTCGACCCCGTAGGGGTTCCTGTTAGGAAAAATGCTAACTTGAGAACCAGGAAAGCTAAGAAGCTGAAATTTCAAGAGGATGTTCCCAGTTCATGTGCAGCTCAAATTTACCAAAACTAGCCCCCAGGCACGCGTGGTTCTTACGCGCGGCTCCATTAACGTTTTTTGGGAGAAAACGGCTAAATTGGGAACCAGGAAATCTAGGAGGCTGAAATTTTAAGAGGACAACCCATGCAAAACTCAAAAATTTCAAACCCTGCCCTCAGGTATGCCCTCACGTCACGTGCGGCCCCATGAAAGCTTTGGCGGAAAAATTGCTAACCAGGGAACCAGAAAAGCCGGAAAGCTGAGATTTTAGGAGTATGTTCTCCGTACAAAAACAACTTAAAGGTTTCAAATTCTGTGTCTAGGTACGCGTGATTTTCGTGTACTAGCACTTAAATTTTTTACAGAAAAACTACTCATTGAACAGATGAGTCATTTTCAAAAAACGATCGCTAAACAGAAATTCTTTACTTTCGTTTATGCAAAACTTATGATGTTTTACGGTGTTGGACACACAAGGCAGGTATAAAGAAACAACCATTCATGCAGTTAATTTAATTACTTTAAATTTGGTGCAAAAACGAATGATCGCAACGGCATGCCTGGTGGGTTCCAGCCTGGGTTTCCATAAGCGGTCGTTCATCGAAAAATGCAAATTTGACAACGCACATGATGTCGGAGGGAAAGGATTATTGGTGACGCATACCAAGCGGGCCGGTACGATCATGCTTTTTCACAACATTTCGCGCTGTACTAACATCACTTGGGATCCCACTAGCTGAAATTTGCGACAGACTGGTCCTCAAAGTTCAGAAAGTTAGCTGTGCAACTTCTTTTTATGGTACTTATACAAGGAAGATTTCGTTAAAATTCCGGCTTCCTAATTCTTCTGGTTCCCAAGTTAGCAATTTTCGCGATAAAAGTTTTCGCGGTGGCTAAATCTGAATTTTTAAGTTCTCTGTGGACGGAGAATATCCCCTTGAAATTCCGGCCTTCGAGTTTTTCTGAAAGCCGAGTTAGCAGTTTTCGTGCCAAAATTTTTCCAAAACCGTACGTAAGAGCCGCACACACCGTGAACTGAGAACATTCCATTAAAATTTCAGTCTCCCAGCTTTTCTGGTTCCCGAGTTAGTAATTTTTTTGCCAAAACTTTGACGTGTTCGTACGCAAGGCCCTGCGCGAAGGTTAGTACAGAGATGACGGGACGGAACTTGGCTAGGGTACCCATTGGCGAAATTTAGCGCCAGAGCTTACTTCGTTGCTGAGTTGATATACACGGACAGACGCATACGCACACGCACATACACACACACAAACACGCACACACACACACAAACACACACACACACATACACACTACGGGCCGTCACAATATGTGTTTTTGCATTTGTATATATGCAAAAATGCATAATAACGAGATCCGCAAGACGCACTCGCTTTTCAGGTTGCAATAAAATTGAGTATTTCTCATACCCTTATGCGGGGAATTTAGCCTCCAGATTGTCAAACATGAATATAGAATACACTTGGAAACTTTCAGCCTCGCAACTTCTCCCGTAAACAAAATAGCCATTTTCCTACAAATATCTTTGGAGTGCCCACGTGCAAATCGAAACTCGATTTAGGTATACGATTCCCCAGACAGACAATAAATATTCTGACGAAATTTCAGCTGCTGCTTTCTGGCCAGTTTTCGAGTTGGTGC